GCAAATGGAAACCCAAAATGAGCAGTAGTAGCTATTCTTACATTGGATAAAATAGACTTTAAACCAAAATCATAAAAAGAGAAAAAGGATACTATATAATGACAAACAGATCTGCCCTGCAAGAAGACATAAAAATCATAAATATCATAAATATATATGTACTCAACACTGGAGCACCTAAATATACAAAGCAAATACTAGTAGGCCTAAAGAAAGAGATAGGCCCAAATATAATAATAGTAAGGGACATGAACGCCCCTCTCTCAACACTAGACAGATCATCTCGGCAACAAATCAACAGAGAAGCACAGGATTTAAACTTCACTTTAGACCAATTGGACCTGGCAGATATCTACAGAACATTACATCCAAAAACTACAGATTATGCATTCTTCTCATCAGCACATGGAGCATTCTCCAGGACAGACCACATCTTAGGTCACAAATTAACTCTCAAAAAATGTTTAACAATTGAAATCATTTAAGTATCTTCTCAGATAACAACAAATTGAAACTAGAAATCAATAACAAGCAAAACTCTGGAACTATACAAATACATGGAAATTAAACAACATGCCCCTGAATGACCTATGTGTCCAAGAAAAAATTAAACAGGAAATCAAAAAATGTCTTGAAATTAATGAAAATAAAGACACATCATACTAAGCCTGTGGGATACTGCAAAAGCAGTAGTAAGAGGAAAGTTTATTACAATAAACACATCAAAAGAATAAAAACATTTCAAATAAACAACCTAACATTACACTTAAAAGAACTAGAAAAACAAGAATAATCCAATCCCCAAATTAGTAGATAGAAAGAAATAATTAAGATCATAGCAGAACTCAATGAAATAGAGAACTAAAAAGATGATACAAAAGATCCATGAAACAAAAAGTTGGATTTTTGAGAACATAAACAAAATAGACAAACTGTTAGCTAGGCTAACTAAAAAAGAACAGAGAAGACCCAAATAAAAAATATCAGAAATGAAGAAGGAGACATTACAACTAATACTGCAGAAATACAAAGAATCATTAGAGAGTATTATAAACAACTAGACACCAATCAATCTGAAAACCTAGAGGAAATGGATAAATTTTTGGACACATACAAACTACAAAGACTGAACCAAGAGAGAAACAGAAAACCTGAATAGACCAATAATAAGCAATAAAACTGAAGCAGTAATCAGCAGCCTCCTAACAAAGAAAGTCCAGGATCAGAAGGCTTTACTGCAGAATTGTACCAAACTTTTAAAAAGGAATTAATACCAATTCTCTTCAAACTATTCCAAAATATTGGAACATTTTTGGAATGGGCCATTCCCCCAAACCCATTCTATTAGGTCAGCAACACCTTGATAACAAAACCAGACAAAGACACAACAACAAAAAGAAAACTACAGGACAATATCCCTGATAAACTTCAATGCAAAATTCCTCATCAAAATATTAGCACAGAATACAGCAACACATCAAAAAAATTATATACCATAATCAAGTGGGATTCATCCCAGGGATACAATGATGGTTCAACACATGCAAATCAATAAAAGTGATAAACCACATCAACAAAATCAAGGATACAAACCATATGTTTATCTCAATAGATGCAGAGAAAGCATTAGACAAAATTCAACATCCCTTCATGAAGACTCACAGCAAATTATGTACAGAAGGAAAGTATCTCAACACAATAAAAGCCATATACAGCCCACTGCCAATATCATCCTAAATGGGAAGAACAGCAACAAGACAAGGATGCCCGCTCTCACCACTCCTATTTAACATAGCGTTAGAAGTACTAGCCAGAGCAATCAGGCAGGAGAAAGAAATAAAGGGCATCCGGATTGGAAAAGACAAAGTCAAACTGTCCCTGTTTGCAGATGACATAATCCTATATACAGAAAAACCTAAAGACTCTACTAAAAAACTCTTAGAGCTGATAAACGATTTCAGTAAAGTAGCAGGATACAAAATCAACATGCAAGCATTAGCAGCATTTTTGTACTTCAATAATGAACTAGCAGGAAAAAAAAATCAAGAAATATAAACGATTTCAGTAAAGTAGCAGGATACAAAATCAACATGCAAGCATTAGCAGCATTTTTATACTTCAATAATGAACTAGCAGGAAAAAAAAATCAAGAAATCAAGCCCATTTACAAGAATCACCAAAAAATTAAAATACCTAGGAATCAATATAACCAAGGAGTTGAAAGATCTCTATAATGAGAACTACAAATCACTGCTGAAAGAATTTAAATAGGACACAAAAAGATGGAAAGACATTCCATGCTCTTGGATTGGAAGAATTACCATTGTGAAACTATCCATACCAACCAAAGCAATCTACAGATTCAATACAATCCCCATCAAAATACCAATGACATTCCTCACAGAAATAGAAAAAACAACCCTAATATTCTTATGGAACAACAAAAGACCTTGAATAGTGAAAGCAGTCATGAACAAAATAAATAAATAAATACAGCCAGAGCCATTACACTACCTGACTTCAAATTATACTACAAAGCTACTGTAACCAAAACAGCAAGGTACTGGCATAAAAACAGACGCTCAGACGAACAGAACAGAACAGAAAACCCAGAAATCAACCCACATACTTATAGCCTACTGATATTTGACAAGGGCAACAGAAGCATACACGGGAGAAAGAAGTGCCTCTTCAATAAGTGGTGCTGGGAGAACTGGACATCCACCTGTAGAAGAACAAAACTAGACCTCTACCCCTCGCCATGAATCAAAACAACTCAAAATGGATTTAAGACTTTTATATAACACCTGAATCTATAAAACTACTAAAAGAAAACTTCAGGAAATAGGACTGACAAAGACTTTATGAATAAGACCCCAAAAGCACAGGCAACAAAAGAATAAACAAACAAACGGGATTATATCAAAGTAAAAATCTGCTGCACAGCAAAAGAACAGCAGAGTGAAAAAACAACCTACAGAATGGGAGAAAATATTTGCAAACTATGCATCCAAAAAATGATTAATATCCAGAATATACAGGGAACTCAAATTGACAGTAATAAAATAAGTAACCCAATTACAAACTGGGTAAAGGAGCTGAATAGGCATTTCTCAAAGGAAGATATATAAATGGCCAACAGACAAATGAAAAAATGTTCAACATGACATTCAGGGAAATGCACATCAAAACCACATGAGACATCATCTCACGTCAGTTAGATTGATCATTATCAAAAAGACAGAGAATAACAAATGCTGGTGAGGATGAAGAGACAGGGAAACCCTCCGATACTGTTGGTGGGACTGTAAATTAATGCAGCCATTATGGAAAACAGTATAGAAGTTCCTCAAACAACTATAGATAAAACTGCCATAAGATCCAGCAATCCCATTGCTGGGTGTATACCCAATGGAATGAAAATCATCATGTTGAAGGGACACCTTCACTCCCATGTTTATCACAGCTCTATTTACAATAGCTAAGAGTTGGAATAAACCTAAATGTCCACTGACAGACAACCAGACAAGGAAAATGTGATATACACACATGATGGAATACTACTCTACCATAAAAAGGAATCAAATTCTGCCATTCACAGCAACATGAATAAACTTAGAGAAACTATGTATAAGTGAATACGCTAGGCACAGAAAGAGAAAAACAGCATGTCCTTAATCATAAGTAGGAGCTAAAATTTAAAAAAGAAAGAACGATACAATCACAATAATTCATTGAACTTTCAAAAGGACAAAATGGATCTGAGGCCACTAGAGGGGGAGTGAGAGGGGAGGTTAGTGAGAAATTGGTAAAGGGCCACAAAAAATGATTACATCGTGCAATGATAAATATAGTAATTATTATAACTTGAGGATCACATACTGCACACAGGTATTGATATTCAATTCTGTACCCCACAGATATGTACAATCATGTTTCAATTAAAAATAAAAATTAATGTTAAGTAAATGTTAAGTACATGAAAAAAATAAAATAAAATAAAATCACAATCCTGAAAAGATTAAAATCCCAAATGTTCAATTTTGAAAGCTGAATTATGGGGAAGGGATTTTCTTTTCTTTTAAAATAGTTTTCCCCACTATTTTAAATTGCCAGCATTACTTTTTACAATTTGCTATGCTATGTATTTCATCTTTGCATCATTTCCAATACTGGAGGCATGACTTGTGTAAAGACTTTTAATGAATTCGAATCTGTTTTATGCATTTTTTGCAAATTTGACTCCACAAAAGTGTATTATCACAAAGTTGACTTTGTGTGTAAGCACTCTGTGTGTACATAACAATATTAAAACTTTCTCAATAAATGAAGAGATTTCCTGTTTGTACATCTGGATTTGTGAAAGATAAAATTTCTTGAGATCTCAGTTCTTTGGGCGACTGCATATGTGCTGGTGATCCTTGGCAGTGTTTGTTTGATTTCGTCAAAAGACTTAGGTTGTCCATCACAGTATTTCAGAAGCCCTCCATTATAGAGCTTGGTGCATACAATTACCTACCATAGTGATATGCATTTACACATTTCACTTTTTAACCTATTCCTTTATGAATACAGTTTGTCTGCCCATAACAGTTATACCCATGTGACTATTGCTATCATACCTGAGTGTTCATGCTTGCAAAAATATGTATGTTTTTATTGCCTTTTTTATTGTGTAAAGTGGCCTATGAAGTGTTTTGTTGTGTTCCTATGTTTCTCAAATAAAACCGCCATTGAAATATAAATAAATGTCTTTTAAAGAATTTTTTTTAAAAAGGAATTTGAAAAAAGCATCTGAAAAATGCTGCGTTTAAGAACTGCTGCTAAGCATTTTACTGAGACCAAGAATTCCACAGACCTTGTGAAAGGGACACATCCACCAAGGTAATGGCTAACTGCTTAGGAACACTGAATACGATATAAATCACTGAGATTATTGTTCAAAGGATACATACAGTGTTTACAGAATTTTGCATGGCATACTGTACTTCAATACTTACTGGTGCTACTATTTTTCCTGTCTGTCCAACTTGCATGTCATTGGGAACAAAGCCAGCATCAACAGCAGCACGAGAAGCACCAACTAAAGGGAAAAAATGTCATTTTTTTCAAGCTTTATTATTCAGCTAGTTGGGATATTCACTGATAACTGTAAATAAAGACACTAATATAGTACAGTTAGAAATTTATTTTATAAAAGACTTTTTAACAAACTTCTGTCACTGATTGAGAATTCTAAATATTAAGTACTACTGCATTTTGTACATAAAGCTTCAAGAAATTTATTATTACTCCGTTTCTGTTGCTTATAACAAAACATATATAACTAGATATTTTATAAAGAAAATGAAATTTATTGCTCACAGTTCAGAGGCTGGGAAGTTGAAAGTCCAAGGAACACATCTGGTGAGGGGTCTCCTTTGGTGGTGGCTTTAGAGAAATGCAGGGGTCTCACTCAGATGGCAAAAAATGGTGGAGCCAAGATACAGAGACTCTCACGTGCTCTCCTTTTAAATCTCTCGGAACCAAGTCCATGACCAGCATTGTTAATCTATTCATTAGGGTATGGTCCTAAGAACCTAAATCATCTCTTCAAGGCCTCACCTTTCAATTAAAATAATAGGATTTCCCACCCTCAACAGTTACAGTGGGAATTAAGCTTCTAGTATATGGACTTTGGGGGACGCAATTCAATCAATCCACAGCAAAATGCCTTCTATTTATACGCAGGAATTTCACATTTTAAATGTGGCTAAACTCCTGCTTGCTTTATCAAACAGGCAAAATTCATAAAAACTACATTATAATCTGTTTATATAATGTTTAGGATGTCATTAAATAATGTTCCTTTATGTAACAACTTCCCAACTTTTGAAGAAAGGTACTATAATATCATTACCTCTTGCTGGGGGGAAGAAATAATAAGTTATTCCTTAATGGATACAGAGTTTATGTTTAGGGTTATAAACAAGTTTTGAAAATAGAGGTAATGGTTGCACAGCATTGTGAATGTAATTAATTCCACACAATTCTATCTTTTAAAATGTTTAAAATGGCCATCCTTATGTTATATATGTTTTACCACAATTTAAAAAATGAAAAAAAAAAAAAGTTTACCTTTTGTGGTCAGATAAAGAAATTAGTTACATAGAACACAGATAAAAGTTTGGCCAAAACAAATAAAATAAATAAATAAGCAAATAAATAAATAAATAAAATTTAACTGGTTTTCTATCCTCACTTAACAGAAGACAACAACCTGTACTTGGAGTTAAACCACCCCTTTCCCAGCAGGAGTTAAGAATGAGCCTCAGGCCTCTTCATCTCCAGCTATAGAGGACAAGAGCAAGCCATAGAAAATACAGCTTGCTACTTCCTAACACTCATAACTTTACCACCACCATCTATCTTGAGTTAGCTAGGACTAATCCCATCCCGCCCTTATTTCAGTCACTACAAGAACACACAGACTCAAAGGTTATCCTTCATAACCCATACACTGACATCCGTAATGCTCTGCATGCTCCTTAATCTGTACCCATCTCCCACTGCTCAATTCCTGAGCCTTTACACTGTAATTTCCAAAACTCAGAGTCCAATATCAGCAAACCAAAATTCTCTGTATCTTTCACCTATTTGTCTTCTTGTTCTAACAAAAACCTGGAGGTCCCCTGAGGACAACAACTCCCCCGCAGCCCTCTACACTGGCAATTGCTTTGTCTGCCACCATCCTCACACCACTGGGTCTGGAGGTAGAACTCCTCATTGCCACTCTCAAAAAATCCTCCCTCTTTTCACCCTAAAAGACTTCAGCTTTGAGTCTCACATCATCACATTATGTCACCCACTTGTTGCTCTGTCATCGACAAACCTCTACATAAACCCCCTTCGTTTTGCAATGATTTTTAGCTTCTAGGTCACTATCACTCTCTCCAACACAAGTTGTGTCTTGGTTTCATTGACTTTCTCTACTGACTTCCTGTTTTCAACTTCATTGATTTATTCTCTAATTTTTAATATTTCTTCTGCTTACTTGGGATTTTTTTTTTTTTTTTTTTTTTTTTTTTTTTGGGCCCGGTAAGGGGATCGCAACCCTTGGCTTGGTGTCGTCCGCACCGCACTCAGCCAGTGAACGCACCGGCCAGTCCTATATAGGATCCGAACCCGTGGCGGGAGTGCTGCTGCGCTCCCAGTGCCACACTCTCCCGAGTGCGCCACGGGCCGGCCCTTACTTGGGATTTAATATGCTCTTCTTTTTCTAGTTTCTAAGGCAGATGATTATAGATCTCTCTTCTTTTCTAATATGTGCATTAAATGCTACAAATTTCCCTCTAAGCACTGCTTTCACTGTATCACATAAATTTTGATGTTATATTTTCATTTAATTCAAAACTAGTTTTTAATTTCTTTTGAGATTTCTTCATTGGCTCATGTGTTACTTACAAGATTGTTGTTCAGTCTCCAAATATTTTACGATTTTCCAGCTATCTTTTGATAATTGACTTCTATTTAGTTATGCTGTGGTCTAAGAATAGACATTGTATGATTTCTATTCTTTTGAATTTGTTAAAGTGTGTTTTACAGCCCAGAATGTGGTCTATCTTAGTGAATGATCCATGGGAGCTTGAGAAGAATGTGCATTACTCTTTTTTTTGAATGAAGTACAGTCATGTGCCACATAATGAAGCTTCAGTCAACCATGGACCACATATACTAAGGTGGTCTCATAAGATTATAATGTAGCCGAAATTCTTACTGCCTAGTGATGTCACAGTTAGTTGCCCTAACACAATGGCACAACACATTATTCACGAAGGAGCAATATGCTATTCCATATAGCCTAGATGTACAGTAGGCTACAGCCATCTAGGTTACACCATCTAGGTTTGTATAAGAACACTATGATGTTCACATAACAAAACTGCCTAAAGACACATTTGTCAGAACATATCCTTAATCAAGCAACACATGACTATAGTCTGTAGATATCCACTATATCCAGTTGATTGATGGTATTATTGAGTTAAACTAGTTCCTTACTGATTTTCAGCCTGCTAATTCTGTCCAACAGAAGTGTTGAAGTCTCCAACTATAACAGTGGATTCATCTGTTTCTCCTTGCAATTCTATTAGTTTTTGCCTCACTCATTTTGACACTCTGTTGTTAGGAGCATATACATTTTTTTCTTTTTACTAGCATATTCATTATTACAAAATGTAATTATTCTTTATGCCCCTTATCTGACCAATCACTCCCCAACCTCCTTTGTTCCCCCCCATCTCTAGTATCCTTAGGTTTGTTCTCTCTTTCTGAAAGTTCAACATATTATTGTGGTCTTTTCTTTTTCCCTTTCTTTCTTAGCACCCACTTATAAGTGAGGACATGTGGTATTTCTGTGTATGGCTTATTTCACTTAACATAATTTTCTCCAGGCTCATCCATGTTGCTGCAAATGGCAGAATTTCATTCTTTTTATGGCTGAGTAGTATTCCATGTTGTATATATTCCACATTTTCCTTATCCAGTCATCCATGGATGGATTTAGGTTGGTTCCATATTTGGCTATGATCATCCATGTTGCTGCAAATGGCAGAATTTCATTCTTTTTTATGGCTGAGTAGTATTCCATGTTGTATATATTCCACATTTTCCTTATCCAGTCATCCATCGATGGATTTAGGTTGGTTCCATATTTGGCTATGATAAACAGAGCAGTGAAGAACATGGGAGTGCAGGTAACTCTTAGACGAGATGATTTTAATTCCTTTGGATATATACCCAGTATTGGGATTGCTGGACCATATGGTAGTTCTATCTGTAATTGTTTGAGAAACCTCCATACTGTCTTCCATAATGGCTGTACTAATTTACTGTCCGACCAACAGTGCAGAAAAGTTTCCCTTGCCCTGCATCCTCAAGAGCATTTGTTATTCTCAGTCTTTTTGGGGTGAGATGATATCTCAGTGTGGTTCTGATTTGCATTTCCCTGATGATTGGTAATGTTGAGCATTTTTTCATTTACCTGTTGGCCATCTTTATGTCTTCCTTTGAAAAGTGTCTATTCATCTCCTTTGCCCATTTTTTAACTCGATTATTTGCTTTTGTAGTTTGAAGTTGTTTGAGTTCCTTATATACTATGGATATTAATACCTTGTCGGATGAATAGTTTGCAAATATTTTCTCCCATTCCATAGGCTACTTTTCGGCTCTGTTGATTGTTTCCGTGGCTGTGCAGAAGCTTTTTAGTTTGATATATCCCATTTGTTTATTTTTTTGCTTGTTGCTTGTGCTTTTGGTGTCTTATTCATAAAGTCTTTGCCCAGTACTACTTCCTGAACTGTTTCCCCTATTTTCTTTCAGTAATTTTATGGTTTGGAGTCTTATATTTAAATCTTTAATTCATTTTGAGTTGATTTTGGTATAGGGTAAGAGGTACAGGTCCAGTTTCATTCTTCTGCATATAGATGTCCAATTTTCCCAAAACCATTTATTAACGAGGGAGTCTTTTCCCCAATGTATGCTCTAGTTGCCTTTGACAAAGATCCATCGGGTGTAAGTATGTGGCTTGATTCCCAGGTTTTCTATTCTGTTCCATTGGTCCGACTGTCTGTTTTTGTGTCACTGCCATGCTGTTTTGGTTACAATAGCTTTGTGATATAATTTGAAGTCAGGTAGTGTCAAGCCTCAAGCTTTATTTTTCTTGCTAAGGATTGTTTTGGCTATTTGGAGTCTTCTGTTATTCCATATGAATATTAGGATTGTTTTTTCTATTTCTGTGAAGAATGCCATTGGTATTTTGATGGGGACTGCACTGAATCTGTAGATTGCTTTGGGTAGTACAGACATTTTCAAGATGTTAATTCTTCCAATCCAAGAGCATGGCATGTCTTTGCCCCTTTTTGAGTCCTCTTTAATTTCTTTCAGCAGTGATTTGTAGTTCTTGTTGTAGAGATCTTTTACCTCCTTGGTAAAACTGATTACTGGGTTTTTTGTTTGTTTTTTGGTGACTATTATAAATGGGCTTGCTTTCTTGATTTCTTTTTCTGCTAGTTCATTATTGGAATATTAAAACATTACTGATTTGGGGGTGTTGACTTTGT